CTAATTGTGTCCACATCTGTGACTACATACCGAGATGCAGTCTCATTAGTGACGGACACCTCGTCGTGTTTGGAAGTAAGTGAAAACTTGCGCTCGGTGGCCGCCGTTGTCGTCAGCTTTTCGCGGCCTTTTGCGACTCGGTCAGCAATTGCGCGCGCCTCATCTGGCTCCATGTAGCTCGTTTGCAAGTGAGCAATCACTGTTCCACCTCCCACTCTGTCGCAAGAGGTGCTACATCCACTCTCTTGAGTTGAAATCACGTCTTGCGAAGGCAGAATCGCTGAACTCTGCGCACTTTCGGTGGTTTCAGATTGGCCGCTGTTGCACAAAGAGTTTCGTTTTTGAAGATCGGCGTTCCACCATTTCCGTTTTTTCGAGCCGAATTGTTCACGCGTTTTGCGTTTCCTCTTGAAAGGTCGGTTCGGCATGGCGAGAAATCACCTGCGAGCCCACGAATGAGATCGCACAAACTTTTCACAGCCGCGGTAACGCAAACGAAAGTGTAGAACAAGCGCGCGCGTCGGCAGACGACAACAGGAGCGGCGGGTAACGGAGGAGCGCACGCGGCGCGCGCGCCGAAGCGGCGGGCGAGAGGGAGCCGGTTGCCGTGGCAACGGCCAACGGAGGCGCGTTCTTTTATCACGTGCTCGAACGAGCCAATGAGCGCGGGTGCACGGCGTCGCGCATTTCAACACTTTGTACTCTTCCCAGACAACCCAGGATCACCGGAGTGACTCCGCCGGAAAGCGAAGAATGCGCTCTTTCGAACGCGCCCAAGATGGAGGCGATCAGTCGCGCCGTTCGCGCTCGGGCGTTTTTTAAATTTGCGCATTTTCCCGTGATTTTTATGCTCACCCAGTAAGTTTATTGTTAATTTTACATTACTTAGAGACTTTGTAAAACCATGAAACTTTTGTACTGGTTTCATAACACCGAAAATGATATAAAAAAAATACTTTTACAAAATCGACAATTTGCCGATTTTTTGGTCCCCCAAACCCGCGTGCCCCCTTAAAAGCCAGTCATATATGAATGTCCGAACTGAAGTGGCTACTGAATTTCTGGTCTAAAATTTGTAAAATTAATCTGAAAGTAGTAAGTGAGCCTGAATATCATTTCCTTTGACGTGACAACAGAACGATGCAGGCTTGCATAAAACACAGATTGTGCAATTAATGCATGAAACAATTGGAACAGTCTTCCTGCATCCGATTTGTCCAACAAAGTGTATACCCCCCCCCTCCCCCTGCATTTCCGGCACTGCCATGAAATCTCAAAATGACTGCAGTCGTCCTTCGTGAAAATGGACCTTGGAGGTCTCGATGCCCAACCAAAATGAGTCATATGACACGTTCAATGCAAAAGAGCATTAGTCAAATTACAGATACATCAACCAGGATCCAAACAAGCCGACAGAACTCCTTAGGCTGACACATTGTGTCCGAGCCAATGCCACTGCAGGATGGATGAAGATGCTTACGTTGCAGGTTTACATGCATACTGTAAAATCCTGTAAGGACGCCCACCCAAAATGAAGAGATAAATGACAAAAAACATGGGGTGGGCTATCTTTGGGGATGCCACAGCAAAACTTCATCAAAAGTTAATGATAAGCGCCGGGGCACCCGGTAGAAACTACGTGGCGCGGGAACTGATACCGCAGATCGCGGACACGACAAATTCGCGTTTCACGATGCGATAAACACGCGGGAATTCGCCACAAACTCCTTTGGAAAGAACCCATACACGTTGTCCTGGCAGAGAGCCTGGTGCGTTCTGCAATCCCCATCCGAGACGATCGTCGTGTATCTCAGCTCGTGGAGACTGAGAGACCTCCGGAAGAGAAGCAGTGCGGCTTCTACCTCCATTCTTCCGGATTTCACTGTGGTGTTCTGTTGACACTCATGTTCCTCCTTCCAATCTTGATATGTAGCGTCACCAGGCTTGGGGCCAGTCTCGCACCCAAGACAGAAGTTTGAAAGCACGGCAGAGTCTAGTACGAGACCTGTGTAATACTCTATAACAGTTCCCACACCAATACGAGAAGAGTGCCCTCGCTTCTTCCACGACCCATCATAGACAACAGTAATGTTCCCAGTGAAGGTAGGATCAAGCTCCTTGTACACGTTCTTCACAATGGCAGCAGCTTCTGCACAGATGGTTGCCGACATGGCCTTTGCTGCCTGCAGAAAATACTTCTTGAGGTGCTCTTGATAGGTTTTTTGATGCAGCCCCCTATGTGAAACGTTCAGTGTGGCGAAGAAATCATTTAGAGCAGTTTGGCCTTTGCCAATTCCCTTGATCGCTTGCATGGCTCGAATGTTGACATCAAACGCTTTTGAACTTTCCAGGCGGGATGAGGACCAGAAAGCATTGCTTTCTCCACATGCAGAGCAGCTAACAATAAACTTCACAGCCAGACCGTGCTCTGTTGACGTTTCTATATTTAGGCCGGCTTCCTTGCATTGGCTACAGACAGACGCAGTCGCAAGCATGCTGCTAATTGTGTCCACATCTGTGACTACATACCGAGATGCAGTCTCATTAGTGACGGACACCTCGTCGTGTTTGGAAGTAAGTGAAAACTTGCGCTCGGTGGCCGCCGTTGTCGTCAGCTTTTCGCGGCCTTTTGCGACTCGGTCAGCAATTGCGCGCGCCTCATCTGGCTCCATGTAGCTCGTTTGCAAGTGAGCAATCACTGTTCCACCTCCCACTCTGTCGCAAGAGGTGCTACATCCACTCTCTTGAGTTGAAATCACGTCTTGCGAAGGCAGAATCGCTGAACTCTGCGCACTTTCGGTGGTTTCAGATTGGCCGCTGTTGCACAAAGAGTTTCGTTTTTGAAGATCGGCATTCCACCATTTCCGTTTTTTCGAGCCGAATTGTTCACGCGTTTTGCGTTTCCTCTTGAAAGGTCGGTTCGGCATGGCGAGAAATCACCTGCGAGCCCACGAATGAGATCGCACAAACTTTTCACAGCCGCGGTAACGCAAACGAAAGTGTAGAACAAGCGCGCGCGTCGGCAGACGACAACAGGAGCGGCGGGTAACGGAGGAGCGCACGCGGCGCGCGCGCCGAAGCGGCGGGCGAGAGGGAGCCGGTTGCCGTGGCAACGGCCAACGGAGGCGCGTTCTTTTATCACGTGCTCGAACGAGCCAATGAGCGCGGGTGCACGGCGTCGCGCATTTCAACACTTTGTACTCTTCCCAGACAACCCAGGATCACCGGAGTGACTCCGCCGGAAAGCGAAGAATGCGCTCTTTCGAACGCGCCCAAGATGGAGGCGATCAGTCGCGCCGTTCGCGCTCGGGCGTTTTTTAAATTTGCGCATTTTCCCGTGATTTTTATGCTCACCCAGTAAGTTTATTGTTAATTTTACATTACTTAGAGACTTTGTAAAACCATGAAACTTTTGTACTGGTTTCATAACACCGAAAATGATATAAAAAAAATACTTTTACAAAATCGACAATTTGCCGATTTTTTGGTCCCCCAAACCCGCGTGCCCCCTTAAAAGCCAGTCATATATGAATGTCCGAACTGAAGTGGCTACTGAATTTCTGGTCTAAAATTTGTAAAATTAATCTGAAAGTAGTAAGTGAGCCTGAATATCATTTCCTTTGACGTGACAACAGAACGATGCAGGCTTGCATAAAACACAGATTGTGCAATTAATGCATGAAACAATTGGAACAGTCTTCCTGCATCCGATTTGTCCAACAAAGTGTATACCCCCCCCCTCCCCCTGCATTTCCGGCACTGCCATGAAATCTCAAAATGACTGCAGTCGTCCTTCGTGAAAATGGACCTTGGAGGTCTCGATGCCCAACCAAAATGAGTCATATGACACGTTCAATGCAAAAGAGCATTAGTCAAATTACAGATACATCAACCAGGATCCAAACAAGCCGACAGAACTCCTTAGGCTGACACATTGTGTCCGAGCCAATGCCACTGCAGGATGGATGAAGATGCTTACGTTGCAGGTTTACATGCATACTGTAAAATCCTGTAAGGACGCCCACCCAAAATGAAGAGATAAATGACAAAAAACATGGGGTGGGCTATCTTTGGGGATGCCACAGCAAAACTTCATCAAAAGTTAATGATAAGCGCCGGGGCACCCGGTAGAAACCACGTGGCGCGGGAACTGATACCGCAGATCGCGGACACGACAAATTCGCGTTTCACGATGCGATAAACACGCGGGAATTCGCCACAAACTCCTGTATCACGGGAAAGGATACCGCAAGTGGCCGACGCAGCAGATTCGCGTTTCACGGTGCGAAGGACTTGCGGACACCCGCCGAGAACTCGCATCTCACGGGAACGGATACCGCAGATCGCGGCACAGCAGATTCAAGTTTCATGGTGCAATAAAGACGTGGGAACCGGCTACAATCTTGCCGTTCACGAAAACCGATATTGCGCGTGCAGATCGCGGACAAAAACATGGGATTACGCTACAAACTCTCATGTCACAGAAACAAATACCACAGATCGTGGATGCAACAGAATCGCATTTCACAATGCAATATACACGCGGAAACAACTCGCGCGTGTTAGTTACAACTAAAAATCGATATCGCACGTGCAGATCACGGACAAAAACAGGGGAATCCGCTACGAACTCGGGACCGGATACCGCAAATCGCGAACGCAGCAGATTCGCATTTCACAATGCAATATACACGCGGGAACAACTCGCGCGTTACGGGAGCTGATATCGTGCGCGCAGATCGCAGACAAAAACGCTGGAACCCGCTATGAACTCGCTCCTCGGACGCATCGGTACCGCAGATCGCGCCGTTGAAACGAGATTCCCATCGGACATGCTTGACATCTAACGGAAATCGAGGGGTGGGCGATGTTTCGGATTGTTATGTCAGATATTTAGCCAGAAAAACAAGATGGGCAATCTCTCAGGGGAGGGCGCCCTTACGGGATTTTACGGTAGTTAAAAGCAATTTGAAACAAAAAGTATGTTTCTGGCCACCTACTTTGTTTTCTTCTGTTTGGGAGCAGTCTCCTTCTCGAAATCCGAATGAACAAACTGAAAGGAATAAAATGAAATCACCACACATGCTCTGGACCATTTTTTAGCCTTCTCCATTGAAAGAAAGACACGAGTCACCAGAGAAAAAGGTACTAACCTTCCTTCCCACTGTTCCGTCTTTCTCAATCGTCTCCACTTTGATGATAATGTCATTGCAGTCAGGAGTTGGACACAAGGTTCCCAAGAATCCCTGGACGAATAGGGATAAACACATGTGTACATTCAACCTTCTCAATTGGACTCCAGCAAGCCTGTGGTACTTGTGGTACTTTCTTTGCTATGCCCAATAAAAAATTAATCCCTTGCGATCTATTTTTAATGCATCGAAAATTTTTGGTGGGTAGTTCAGAAACTGTGCTTTCAGCTTTTCCCAAAGTTCGATCTGTCTGCTGCAACTTTCGTCGATGAAAGAAGCAGTTAAGAATTAAGGGATCATGCATAGTTCCAGCCTTGGCTAATACAATAGAGCCCCACAGTAGAAAAGTCAAAAGTTTTCAGAACATAAACTATATCAGTAACTGATATGCCCGTTCGAGTTCCACATGCATACTTCAGTTCTGCTTCGCTATACTTACAAGCCCAGCCAGGTTACACGGAACTCCAGTATTTCTAATTATTGCATATATCGAAATGTCAAAACATCCCCTTGAAGTTAGCGGGATTCCTTTGGACAAAAACCACTATGCCCAGGTGTCTTTGAGGACAGGGGTCCTTGACTGATGCAAAGCGAGAAAGAACCACCAAAAGAGTGGCCGTTTCTGCATGTTTGAGTCAAAACACACAGCAAGGAGGATGAACATCACCCCCGTGGCCACAGTTACAACAGTCACCAAAAAAAAAAAAACAGACCAAAGGAAAAAAAAACAAATAGGAACGTTGCGCAAATGTATCAAACTCCCGTCCATCACCGGGACATTCAATATGTCTAAGCAATGGCTGTGCTGTGCTTCTATAAGAGGAGATTTTCTGTAACATTCGGTCACCACTCCTGCAACCAGCTTGTGTGCACGGAGGCTGGCAGAGGCAAGGGCGCAACTCGCATAAACTTCAGCAGTTACGGCAGCTCCAAAGCATTCATGCCTCATTCGTCATTAATGTGATAAACTTCATAAACTTCACAAGAAGCAGGTCGAGCTTAGTATTGCTTTTTCTTTTTCTGCGAGACAAAATATTTATTGCCGTGCTGCGTTTATGGCCTTGCAGACAGTTTCTCGACATGTCTTTTTGTTTTCGTGCAGCCTCCTGTTGCAAGATCCTTTCATGCAGGACGGGTGAGCTCCCGTTTATCCCAGTAATCTGGCAATTCGGCCACATGACACCGTGAGGTTATAGAGGTTCAGTCCCGGGTGTGGACGCAGAAGTACCGAGAGCCAACGCTATGAATGCCATGCATTCATATAAATAGGCCGCCAAACCTTCTCGGTGAGGCTGCGGGCGTCCCTGATCTCCTTCCAGCAGGCTGGGTGGTACTGAACCAGGCACCGGGAGTGGCAGTGCAGCTGCTGAAAACCCCTAAAGTCCGGGTCGCTGTAGTAGATGTTCCTTTGCAGGGGACACTCCTCCCTACAGCACATGGCGTCCCGCTCGGGGGGAGACCGGCACTCCGCCTGCATCTCTTCCAGGGACCTCTACCCGGGCCATGAAAGGAAGCGCATGGTTACTTGGCAGCCGGTAACAGCACTATCGTCCTGTCTCGTTAATGTGGACCCCGTTAATGGGGATACCTCGCTACGTAGGCAAGCTTTTCCGGGACGGTAAATACCTGCACTTTTGTCTCGTTATTACAGACAACTCGTATTATGGCCGACATGTGTACGAAAAATGTCCCAAGTGTACTTCAATCATTTACTTCTGCTTTGGCCTTTTCATTATAACAATATTGGGGAAAAAAAAATACTGATGGAACACAGGTGTGAATTAACTAGACATAACTGTAAAAGAAATTGCCCGTGCAAAAAAAAAGCAGATAAAGAAAACAGTTAGTTAGGCATTTCTTTTTTGCACATGCAGTAGGTGTAAAAAAAAAATGAAAGAAAAAGCACAATTATGTTTTCATTAGGGGTGAGCGAATACCGAATAGTAGTTTTCGAATCGAATACCGAATCGAATCAAGAAAAAAAAAGCCGAATATTGAATCGAATATTGAATAGTGATTTTATTTGTAGAAATTCTTCGAAGTGTGCTGTGAATGAGATTATTATATGTGCAGGGTATGCCCCTGGTGCAGAATATGCATCTTGTAAGGAACAAAAGCTAAAATGTAAAAAAATTCTGGTGAGAAAAAATTAAATAAATAAAAGCAGTTGCTGTTGGATGTTGGGTACTAAAGATCCAATTTTATGGCACAAATATAATCTATCTACCCTAAACGTCACAAAAAACCAAAGTTACAGCCACGCATGTGTGTGTGTTTCACATCGGCCCCAAGTGTGTTTTAAATCGGTGCTTCAATTTGGAACAAGGGGCTTTACTCGTGAAAAGAACTAGGCATGGCGCGGGATTCCGGCCTCCCAACAATTTCTCTCTGGAAGCAGCGCAAACGGGATGTTTTGGTTGCGATTCAAGGGTACATAGTGTCACGATCATGAGTACATCTGCGTGCAATAAAGTTTGTGGCGTTCGTTACTTTTCTTTTTTCTAACCTGTGCGTTAGATTTTCGTGGAATGGTAGGACCAAGAGCTCTTTTGCGCATGGTCTGTCTATCATCACGGTGCTTACATCGGGAGAAAAAACGGCTTTATGTCCGCTCCGCGCCGACCGCGCGTCTTTGGCAGAATATATTGAATATTCGAGTGACCTAATACTGGGAATTCGATTCGCGAATCGAATTATTCGGGAACTTTCTATTCGATTCCAATTTTTATATTCGAGTATTCGCACACCCCTAGTTTTCATGTTTCCTTCAAGACATTTTGGCATTTGTAGTCTCAAAACAAAGAAAACCAAGAAGGTATTATGATACCATGTACAGTAAAACCTCGTTAAAACAAAATGGGATATAACAAACTAATGGATATAACAAAGCAGTCATAATTCCCCTTGCTTGCTAATAATGGGAAGAAATGGACATTGGCTAAACAAACTAATGGCTATAACGAAATAATTACGAGCGCTCCTTCAACTTCGTTATAACGAGGTTTTACTGTATAATGATGTACTGCTTATAAAGATCAGTTCCTAGACTAGAAACTGATCAGTTTTTAGTCCAGATACAATGATAATCAGTTATAACAATTGAATTTTCATGTTATCCCATTATCGTTATACGTGGATTGCACTGTACAGACATAGCACAAGGCTATAGGTGCCTCACGGTATTTGAACTCAACAAGGACTGAACAGAGCACGCTGTATGAACTAGTTGCGGGGTAGCCAAATAGTTCCAATACAAAAAGGAAGCTTTTAACTTCAGGTGTTTTGTGACATAAAACTCAAAAACAAATTTTAATGAATGAAAACAGAATCGGACAACATTCAAACAGAATGTTGATTGAGTGTCAAAATAGACATTATGTCACTTCACAAGTTTGTCATAAAAATGTAAAACCATCAGTTTTTACATAGCATTTTGTGCAGTATCAGAAACAAAGAAAGAAGTGCTGCTAGCTTCACAAAAAAATAGGCCCCCAAAGGAAAATAGCAGATACCAGAAAGAGATTCTAATTTCCCGTTATCATTTGACCATTTTTAATCAGATTTATAAGAGCACTTTTAAAGCACACTCTCAAAGTGCGACCGGAGACACATCCCTGCATTCTAAGCGAATGGTTGATAATGATGTGCTTACAGTAAAGAAAAAAAAAAGAAAACATTTTTCCAGCAAAGGGGACATGGTTGGAAAGCAATACTGCATTCCCCAGAAATTTTTCAAGTTCCAAGAAGAATATTTTTAACAGTAAAAATGCATAGCAAATTTAATCAAATATTGTTAAGATTCGACTGAATATCTAAAATTCAGAACATTTGCACACCCCTGGAGATAATATGAGTAAACATATAAGGCAGCAAACCTGTAGTTTCGTCCTTTCGGCAATGTCAATTTTCGTCTTGGTCCCAGGCCAGAGCACAGTTTCATTGAAGCGAATTCCCTTGCTGAGTATGCTTAGACCTTTTTCCAGGTATGGCAAGGCATCAGAGAATCTGAACGGAGAACAAAAGAATAAATGGGTGCCACAAAAATGGGACGCTCAATCTGCCCTCCCATGGCACTGGATTCTTTCACCATAAAACAGATTGTGGCAGTAAATAGGCAGAAAGGAAAACTATCCTGCCAGGGACAAAAAGCCAATTGGTATTTTGAGCAGCTGAGAAATAGCATTGTTGGAAAGATGGCACCAATGAAATCAGGAAAAAAGTACAGCATTATGGCTAAAACCACAGCTGTGAAGTAACTGCTTAAAGTTTTAAAATTTGTCACTACTGTAACATACAACCCTATAACAATCATGAGATGGCAAAAAAAAAAAAAACGCGACAGACACTTAAGTGTAGGAATGCTTTTGCATTCCTACATGCAACGTATTCCTACAAGCAGCGTGCCACGTCTTCCTTTTGCGCATGGCACACATCACACCCCCCACTGTGCAGGCGCGGCGCCACCGCTAGCCTCACGGCTTGCGTGACAAAGCATCTGTGTTGCTGTGCTTTTCTCTGCGTTTTATTTCTGAGGCGCATCCACTTTGACCTTGAGCGGAGCGTGCTTGATGACATATTGTTGTGACCACAATGCCTACGCCTTTTCTCATGAAGGGACAAGGCGCAGTACCGCCCAGTGACGATATTTGAATGTGGTTCATAGATTGGACCTCAGCATTGCGTGAGCCCTCGATTTGGGCTCGTGATAATCAATAAGGCTTTAACCTTAAATAAATTTTATGTAAGCAGTAATCTGCTTACATAAAGGCATCAAAGGGTTAGAGTTAATATTTAAAAATTTAATTACTAAAATGCAATTACTGTATTTACTCGCATAATGAACACACTTTTTTTCCAGAAAAATTGACACATATTTGGGGGGCGTTCATTATGCGGGGTTAAAATTTTTACATTTACACACTTTGTGCAAGTGTCATATTAGGTCCCAATATGGCGTGGCAAGGTACTGTGGCACGTCTCCACTGATGGAAGTGCACCCACGTCTGGTCGGGGGCGCGCCGCAGTAACCATGCTTTATAAATTGCAAACCTTTCTGCCTTTTGCAGAAGGAAAAGCGCCCTACGAAGCTCACTCAGCACGGAAAGCAACGCAACGATTCTTAGGCGATATATTGCTAGGATCCCGCGGCACGCTCAGGTATATACCGCGACTATGAATATAAGAACTCGTACGAAGTTCAACCGCTGATCGCCGAGGCCAGCTTGCACAGATCAAGTTTCACGAAGATGGCTGTTACAAGAGGCTACCAGACACTCGACCTACGACACAGCGTGCACCTCGCTGCACCATTCTGTTACGGATTAAATAAACGCATTTACCCCAAAATATGTGAAATTAAGCCTAACCACTTTCACGATTTTACTGTCCGAAAGTGGACCACAGACGACGTGTTTGTTGACATCAATGCATCCAATAGGCAACGAATGTCCGAGGTAGGGCAATTCCTCGACCCAAGCTTCAAGTGTGCACGCTACTCAGTTTCACGGTTGATCACTTGGTTGATCACTTCCGCAACTAAGCACTTGCAGCCATTACAAGAATGGCTTGGCTTGGCTTAGCTTGGCTTGGCCAAGCCGCTTAGCAGCAAAAAAAAAATTGGCTAGGTGGTTAGCTTAGTTGGGAACAATTAGACTAGCGGAGCCGAAAATTGGAGGTGCGTTAATTATGCGAGGGAAAAAAAAAAGTCTAAATATTGGCACTCGTTGTGGGGGGTGCATTCATTATGCGAGTGTTCATTACGCGAATAAATATGGTAATTACTAAATTATACTGAATGTTAATCATTTTCCTTCATGGGCCCTCGGCACAAACCACTACGGCATCAACCTTTTTTTTGTGCAATGCAGTTTTCACAGGAGCAATTTGAACCAAGTTTCCAGAAACACCCTGTGCAGTCAAACCCGATTATATAAACCCGGTTAATTCCAACTATCCCTTGTATCGAAATATTTCTGAACAGACTAGTTGCAATGAAAGTGCATAGCAAAAAATGGAGTCACACTGAACGAAAATTGCAGCGTCTCCCGATTAATCGAACTGCCAAGAGCGCCGTGTCGCTCTGCAAGCTGGCTTTGTTTTTCTTCCGCAAAACAAAATCAACTGCCAGAAAAAAAAAATAATTCTCTTTTGCGGAGGGAGCAGAAAGAGGGTGAGCCAGTGAGGCCTTGAAAAACGAAGAAGTGGCCGCTGAATATTGCCGCGCGCGCGCAGCTGGACAAGTAGGCAGCGCGCGCGTGGCCTAACGGTTATCGCGCTTGCCTCCCACGCAGAAGGCCAGGGTTCGATTCCTGGCCGCGACTACACATTTTTGTTGACAGTGTAATTTGATGTTCTAGTGAATTCGAGAACCGTCTTGCTGATTCGAGGTTAGAATGTTCTACACACCGAACCTTCTACGCCGAACGATCCAGAAACCCACGAGGGTACATAAGGGATTCCGCCAGGCGAGCGAATTCAGTTTTTCGCCTCAACTCATTCTTGCAGGCGGTCCACGAGATCAATAATGTCTCCCGATTCTCGAACCAGTGCCTGGCCGTTCCTTCGAGCGCGAAGTAAAGGTTCTGCAGGCGCTGGTCCTCCGTCCATCGGTTGTGCTGGGCCACCCGCTCGTATTGTTGAAGCCAGTCCTCGACGTCTTCGTGGGCGTCCCCGTGGAATGGCGTCGGAGTCCGGGGTGCGACTGGTAGGTAGATGAAGGCAGGAGCGGCCGGGGTCTGTGACTGCTGGCCGTCCATCGTCGGCTTCGTTGGCTGCTTGGTCCTGGGTGGCAGAAGTCCGTATTCCGGGTGTAGACCTTGGGTGCGGCGACTGGTCCGAGTTTCAGGTTCCGCGTCGGGTGGTCTTCTCACCGGGCTCGGAATGGGGCTTGCACTGCGGGCCCTGGGAGGGGAACGCTGCACGGGCATGCGCTACCCCGCACCTCCACCAAGATGTCACGGGTGGTGACCAAAGAAATAGGAAATAAACAGGAAGAAATAAACGTTTAATGTGGCGAACTTGTGCCAAAAAAAAATAAAAGGGGTACAACGATAATAACAGAGCGTCGCGGGCGTCGAAGTCGGCGGAGCAGCACAGTCGAACGCTGAGGCGAAAAACTGAATTCGCTCGCCTGGCGGAATCCCTTATGTACCCTCGTGGGTTTCTGGATCGTTCGGCGTAGAAGGTTCGGTGTGTAGAACATTTTAACCTCGAATCAGCAAGACGGTTCTCGAATTCACTAGAACATCAAATTACACTGTCAACAAAAATGTGTAGTCGCGGCCAGGAATCGAACCCTGGCCTTCTGCGTGGGAGGCAAGCGCGATAACCGTTAGGCCACGCGCGCGCTGCCTACTTGTCCAGCTGCGCGCGCGGCAATATTCCTGTTTTAAATTGGTGCAATAAGTTATTTCTTTAAGTTATGTTGATAAATACCCTAACTTCCTTGGTCAAACGCTACTGCAACAGAGTGATAAATCAAAAGTGCAATGCGCAAATATTTCTTTCTGGACTGGAAACTGAACCATTGGCCAGCAATCACTGCACAGATAGAGCTACTTTTCGGGAGTAAAATATGTTTGTTTAAAATCTATCCGTATTTAAAATTTATACATACCGTATTTACTCGCACAATGAACGCATTCGCGTAATGAACGCACCCCCCAAGTCGGCTCTCAAAATTTCGACTTTTTTTTTCACTCGCGTAATAAACGCACCCCCAACTCCGACGTCAAAATTTTGACCCCCTCCTCCCACGCGCGCGAAATGAACGCACTTTTTTATCCTGGTGCAGCGAGGTCGCGAATGCATGGGCAGCGAGTCGAACAAAACGCCTTGCAAAGGCGTTAACAAAATTTGCGAAGATCCAACGGAAGCAAGAAAAAAAGAAACATGCCAGAGGAGCTTTTTTTTTTTTGCACAGCGCAGTCTGGACTTGGGGTTCGCGCGCCCCCGCGCGCAAGGGGGTAAGAAAGAGAAGCGCTCTAAGCGAAGGAAACAGCTTGCGAAAGGCGGCAAAAAGAAAGAGAAACCCACAGAACTAAGAGAAAACAAAAACAAAAAAAAAAGCTTTTTTTTTTTTTTTTTTTTTGCACAGGTAACGGGGGGTCGCGCGCCGCGCGCAAGGAGGTAACAAAGAGGAGCGGAGAAGCCCTCTAAGCAAACAAAACAGCTTGCGAAAGGCGGCAAAAAAAAAAAAAAAACATCCCACGGAACTGAGAAAAAAACAAAAAAAAGAGGAGCTTTTTTTTTTTTTTCTTTTTTTTTTGCACAGCGCAGTTTGGTGACGGGAGGTCGTGCGTCGCGGGCCGCGCGCAAGGAGATAAGAAAGATAAGCGGAAAGCCCTCGCCTAAGCAAACAAAACAGATTGCGAAAGGCAGCAAAAAAAAAAACAAAAACCAAGGAACTAAAAGAAAAAAAAAGGATTTTTTTTTTTTGCACAGCTTAGTTTGGTTGCGGGGTGGGCGCCGCGCGCAGAGAGATAAGTTACTTCGATTTTTCAGGATAAAAGGTCCGTTCATTATGCGAGTAAATAACCGATGCAAAAATTTTACCTCGCTTAATGAATGCCCCCCCTAACTTTGCATCATTTTTCGGAAAAAAAAGTGCGTTCATTCTGCGAGTAAATACGTATATAAAAGTATCTATATTGTGACTAAAATTTTATTTGTTAAAATATCAGTATTTGTAGCTTTTACATTTAATCTGATGTAACCATAACTACCACGTACTAATTACTTCTGACCCACTTTCGCAGCTCTGACTGAAGTTCAAACTAAAACTCATTTTTAACACATAATGTGTTCAAGGGCTGGGATCCCCGAGGAAAGTGTGGCATAACGCCAAGGAAACCATCACGAAATGTGTAGCACATACTTCAGAGGACAGTGTGCACAAAAATGTGGTAAATTGATAAGATAAACATGCGCCAACGGGAATTGTACCCATGACTAGGGATGTCGCGAACCACCCTAGGTTCGATTTCGAAAGGTTTCGATATTTGCGAAGCGAACTGAGGTTCGATTTCGAAAAATTTCGATATTTTCGTACCGACAGAGGTTCGATTTCGAAAAATTCGCAACTTTTGTCCACAGCGGAGTTTCGAATTCGAAAATTTCGAAGCTTTCACGGTTTCTAAAATTTCGAATTCGAATATTTCGAATATTTTTTTACTTCAGGTTCGATAAATTCGAAGATTTCGAAATTCTTTGTAAAAAAAATTTGAAAACTTCGAACGCTTCGAATTTTTATAGACATGAAGTTCGAACAATTCGAAGATTTCGAATTTCTTTTGGCATAAAGTTCGAAAAGTTCGAAAGTTTCGATTCTCTTTAAACGCTAAATTCAAAAAAAAAAAAAAAAAAAAACTGAAGATTTTGAATTTTTTTTTAATCCAAGTTTTCAAAGTTTGAAGTCCGATTTTCAAGTTTTTCTACAGTTTCAGTTTCAAATAACGTTTTCACGACTCACTTGTTTTCACAAAATCAAGTTTAGAAAAGTTAGGGTGTGATATCTAGATTCTGCGAAGTTGGTAAGGCAATTAAATGAGACGACGAGTGTCCCGGACGTGCTAGAATATTTGCCAGTGCAGAATAGTGACCGCCAGCCCCCGGGGGGGGGGGGGGGGGGGGTCTTTATCACGCAGTAGTGATTGCACGAACACACTGTTTTACGAGACTCATCCAGTTCGAAACGGCCAGGGGCGAGCAGGAGGTTGAGGCTCAGAGAAACCTTGAAGCGACCTGGCAAACTAGCTCGCCACCCCTTGCACGCTGGTAGTAATCCGATCCGGTGAAGTTTATAATTGTACTGGAGGTTTATTTTCTGGGACGGAGGAATCGCCTCGCAAAAAGCACAAAAGCCGACACAACTCGAGGTCGAGGAGCGTTCTACCATACAAGTGGCGTCGGAAGAGGAAAAACGGGGGGAAAGAGGGTAGCGGGGGGGGGGGGGCTTCAGCCTCATTCTCCCCCTTGCAGGTATTTCGGACTGTTAAAGAAAACAATACGGGGAAAGAGGGCGTGGTCGAGCTTATTTTAATCTGAAATTATTTATGCATATGTATAGCTACTGTCGCTCTTCACTGCATAAAAGGTTGCGTAGATGGTCATTGTTAGAAACTCGTTGTCAGAAGGCACTGCTCGTCACATGCTTAGTGGTTCGGAAGTTCAAAGCTGTCTTTTCGACCTAAACGCCAGTGCCGATAGTAACAAAAGAAAAAAAAAAAAAAAAGAATAAATGCGGGAATAAAAAGCAGGACAAAAAAAAGAAACTATCAAGAATTCGTCGGAAGTGTTCTATTCTTGCATATTCAGAGGTTCAGAACTTCGAAACAAGTTTCTTTTACCAAAATGTGTACAGGCTAAAAGAAACACGTCCCAGGAACGTGAAGCGAAAAAAAAAAAGAAAGTTTTCTTTTAATGACGTGCTGAACTTGAACACTACTAGAAATCTTCTCCCACGAGTTAATTTATTCCTTAACGTGAAAAAACAATAAATATATTATTTTGTATTCTGCAGATGGCAATGATATGTACTGTCTGTGGTGTTAATTTAAATGCGATACCTCAAACAACTTAGACGAAAATAAATATCAAGTTTAGGTCATAATTGCATGCAGATACATGTTTGGACATTTCTTCGAAACTCACGTTGAATAACAATAATCACATCTTAAGACGGCACTTACCTACGCTATACATAGATCATTCTTAAAGTATAACTTATCTACCATGAATAGCTCCGGCTGCAGCTTGCTTCAAATCTGGCACAAACGATAATCGTCAAAAACCCGTCGTCCGTCCTCGCCCCTTCGGGGATTTATTTCTTTAAACCTAAGCATGCCAGAACATTGAAATAAATGGCATTGTCTTTCGTAAGGAACGCAGCACCGCGTGTAAAAGTTCCAGAAAAAAAAATTACGAATGTAATTTTTTTTAAATGAAATGAAACCGTCCGCCGGTCTTTCGAAGTTCGACGAACGTCGAACTTTTACCCTATAAGTTCGAAGTTCGTCGAACTTCTGACTTTTCAGAATTCGAAAGTTCGAAACTTTTCGAATTTTCTTGATAAATAAGTTCGAAAGTTCGAAATGTATCGAATTTTTTGGTCAGTCAAGTTCGAAAGTTCGACAAGCATCGAACCTTGCAGCGCAATAAGTTCGAAAGTTCGAAAAAGATCGAATTTTTTAGCGTAATAAGTTCGAAGGTTCGAAAAGCGTCGAACTTCTTAGCTTAACAAGTTCGAAAATTCGACCTCCGTCGAATTTTACGATATAGACAATTCGAAAAATCGAAATCTTTCGAACCTTTCGAACCGCTTGATTCGATCATCGAAACTTCGATTCGAAAAAAGTTCGCGGCATCCCTACCCATGACCCCTTGATTGTGAGCTCAACATACTACCATAAAATACCAAGCATGCGCCCTCACTTGACTAAGCGCCCCCCCCCCCCCCCCCCCCCCCACATTTTCTGCGAATTTCCCACTTTTATACACAACCAAACAAGCCCCCCTCCCCTTCTCCCAATGCCGCCCGTCCCAAAAGCGTTCCCTTCTTTTTTTTTAGCTTTGTTTTGGGCTTTTTGGTTGTCGCAGTATACAAAGCCAATATTGAATCCCACCCAATCCAGGAGGTTGCTATGAGAATGCACCACCAGCCGTCCCCATCATTTACTAAGTGTCTGCGTTGGGAGCAGTTGTCTTTGTTCGCTTCGTTTTGGGGGCACATTGCAAAACGCCAAACCAGGGAGTACAAGGAGACATGGGATGGGCATCATTTGAGAGCAGGGAAGCGGTGAGCAAGGTAGAATTTGAGGATGGGTTGAGGCTAATGGACGGGGAGCAATGGGCACGAAAGGTTTTCAGCTATTTATACATGAGGAGTGTAGACACCAAGTGGAGACAGCGCACTAGGAAATTAAGAGGAAAGTTTTTGGGCTATAGCGAAGATACGGAAGAGCAAGTCTCAGTTAAGAAGAAAGTTAAGGCCACAGAAAGAGATCGGTGGCTAGAGGGAATGCAGACAAAGACGGCTCTGGAAAGCTATAGATTAAACAAAAGAGTTATTGCCAAAGAAAGCATTTATGACAATTCTAGGGGAAGCTCATTGCTGTTTGAGGCAAGAACGGGTGTTCTGCGAACCAGAACATACAGAGTGAAGTACCAGGAAATTGATACAGTGTGCACTGCTTGTGGAGAGGAGGACGAGACGGCTGAGCACTTGATACTCTACTGTAAAGGGCTTCACCCTATGCCTACCGAAGACAACATAGATTTAATAAAGTCATTGGGTTTTAGAGACAGCGAAGGGAGAGTGGATTTCAAGACTGTAGAGATTACCAAGCAAAGATTAAGTGAATGGTGGCAGAAATCGAGAGAAAACTAGGTATTTTCTTATTCACTGATGGCAAGGGGGTTTCATAGCCTCACTTTCTTTGCACTGCGGAGTGAATATAGATTTCACATTTAAATATTCTAAGCTTAAATGGTAAAACAAAATGGCTAGGTGGCGTAAGCTACCGCCCGATCCAAAGGGCTCAGCCGTATTCATCCATCCATCCATCCATCCATGCATTCATATATGGTGCAGAAGAAACTCGAAGTTGTGAATTGGCACCGGAAGAATGGCAAAAACGTCCACCTGACCTCTCGCCATTTCAAATTGGACCATAAGAGGGTCCCGCAGGTGGAACAAGAACTACAAAGTTTTCCTGCAACAAAACTTCGGGAGGTCAAAGGTATGACGCAGATTGAGCAATGGTGCCCCCGTCTCCAGCGAAGAAGTTGACGAAACCTTGTACGAGTTCTTAGAGTGCAAAAGGAACCCTGGACGTGCGGTGAGCAAAAGACTTGTCCGAAGAAGCTGTCTAGGTTGAGAACAACCTGCAGCTGGGGAATTTTGGAGCTTCAAGCCAGCACCTAAAAAGACCGAAGGCCTGGACCTCATTTTTAATCCAGTTCTGAGGAATTGTTTTGCAGCTTTGATAGCAACTAAAGTGAATGCTAAAATTTCCGTTTTCCAGGTTGAATATTAATTAAAGTGTCCTTAAATAAAAGTTTCCAACAATGCAAACTATAATGCTTTTTTTTTTTTTTTTCAATTTTACGTGGCTGTTATCTTGAATTTTGGGCCTGATCCGAATAAGGGCCCTTTCCATATCTCTCCCAATTGTTTTTGCTTTTTCTTTGAGGGGGGTTTGCTTGGTATTTTGCGGTACATTCCATCACTGCGCCAATCGGTGGGTAAACGCAAAGCTAGCTGGCTTTGTTTCTACCACGCTGGTCTACTCTATGCCAACCGTCTGAACGCAGACGCTAGTGTTCAGTGTTCGCATTTGAAGAGTTTATGGGAAGACTCAAGAAATTCAAAACGTGCCTTGTATCGAATAAAAAGGAACAGAGTTTGGAATAAAATAACAAGCTATGAACTAAGAAAAAAAATTGCAAGGCCCACTACAAATCTTGAAGAATGCCGCAGAAACACACTCTGTGCATACCGACTTTATCTGTAAGACAAAGACAAATCGGGCATTTTTTACTGGAAAATGGGGTGCACAGTTCCATATCACTCTAACCCCTTTGAACTTCAAAAGATGGGCCTCAACCTTCCATTTGTACATACTTTGCTCGCATTCCACGTCAAGTTTCAAGTTGCTCTAGAAGCAGAAGCACAGCAGGAGTGTCTTTTTGGCACTCGATTACGAACCCCAGCAATGCCAAATAAAGTACAGCGAACCGTTAACCAAATTCCACTCAGCTGTATACCGTGCACGACTATAACGGCCACCGTCTTCAGCTAATAACATAACAGGTCTTCAATGTAAGCAGCAATGATCACACACCAGCAAATAATGACGAGAAACAAATCTGCCTTGCTCACTTACCTGTTCATTCTCTTGTTGACTAGGGATAGACCATGGTAAGCGAGTGGGAAAATAATATCCTTGTGGTTTGCAGTGATGTCGAGGAACCATTTCTCGGCTTCGTTGAGATCCTGTAGACAACAAAAAACGATTTAAATCGGATATGAAACCGATATCGCAGTCCTGACAACACAAGCGAAAGGGGGCAGTTTCACGAGTACAGATGACAATGCCAATGTTGAAAAAAGAAAAGTCAAAAAAAAAAGAGCAATGCTACGTTTCCTGATTACGCTCCACACAAGTGAGACTCTTTTCACTACTGTCCCGGCCTCAACTGGTGCATCTGCGCACGTCTCGCTTGTTCGCATAAACACTGTTTTCTCCCTGGTTCCTCCCTTTTGCCCATTCCATTTCTGAAGTCTGCACAGCCTAGAGTAATGTCTCTGCATAAACATAACGCAACCACGAATATCAAGTGAGGGCAAGTTTGATGGCATCAAAAACAAAACAAAATATTACCGCTAAAACACAAGCTGAGGCTGCATTAAGTACTAAACCCTTCTTGAGGGCAGAATAGAGGTGAAAAGGATAAGAAAATTGGTAGAAAATCTAGTTTTTGACTCATCGCCGCTGTATGTTCCATTCCTCGGCGCTGCTCAATTCGTTCTCACTGTTTGTGAGCAGCATGTGATCATCTGTGCCATCAATATTATTGGACAGGCAACACTAGAACGCGCGCGACACAGCGTCTTGAAAGTTTGCAATCCACTGGGCGATTTGGAAAACTGACGCCTGCTTGACCCGCCCCGTCGGTGTGAGCACCTTGTTGTTGTTGGCAAGCCATTCCTCATACTTCCTTTACATGCAGCCTTTGGATGGTTCATTTATGCAGACATCTAGAGGCCGCAATTACAAAATCATACCTCCAGGTATTACCACAAGGTCACTCTTGGCCTCCTGATCGCGTTCTTCACTTCGGTAGTGAGATGTTCCCTGAAGGTGTCCAGAACGAGCATCGATGAAATCTTAAAGGGGCACCGACACCCCAAAGGTCGTATTTATTTTTATTGTCTAAAGCGATGCAAGTTGCAGTCACAGACACAAAAAAAAAATTCTCCCGCCTCTCGCCTCCTCCCTTCTTTTGATTCGTGACGTCAAGAATCATGAAATTTAGAAGCTTTGCAGGCGATCTTTATAACATTTAATAACGGCAATCCTAAAACATGTTTTTTAACGCAATTGCAAATGCACTACGGCCCTTCTTTTTGAAATACCAAAAATCGGGAGTTCGTTGTGGTGCCGTCTCCTGGATTTGTATCCTCCAACGGAAAACAGGCGACGCCGCTCAAAACCGGTCCACCGCAACGCCGCCGCTCGCTCCTTTCCTCCTCACTTTGGGTCGCCATGGCAACAGCAGGGAGTGGTGAAAGAAAGTGGAATCTCAGGACTTCGCAATATTTGACGTCAAGGCACCGGCGCCGATCGCGCGGGAACTTCGAATTCGGCATTTGAAAATTGTTTTTTTTACTTCACAAATACTGAATTCCGAAATTTCAAATTTTGAGGGTAATGTCCCGGCATAGCTTTCCATCGTTTCGGATAATAAAAAAAAATATGATTTTGATGTGTCAGTGCCCCTTTAAACATCTGCCCACACGACACGGAGCCAATAGCTCATCATCGCGGCATCCATCTACTTGTTCTCGTCATACCTTACAGGGTTTGTACAGGCCTAAAATAAAAAAAAATTCAAGTGCTTTCAAGGACTTTTAAGGGCCTGTAAATATATTTTCAAGGACCCCCCAACACTGTGTCTAGTGAAGTTACACCAAATTTTTCAAATGCATTGCGGAAATTTTTTACTACACAATACCTAAAAAAAAGCGCATTTGCCAAAGAGGTTCTTGTAAAGGGTTCAAGAGAGCTACAGCAGCTTTTCCTTGGTTTCCGGGTAGATGTTTAGAAGTTCTTGCATCTTCGTTTTCGCCGGTTTCCTTATGCTTTTCGACTTGACAATATAGGGGTGATGTCAACTGGTCCCTCTGCTTTCTTGGTGCCTGTAGTCGTCGTGACCCAGCCATGACTGCCGAAAGTTGCACTTCCCAAGCATCCCGCACAACTTAACCAACGTCCACCATGTGTAGAGTAAAACAGACATGGAACAAACAAACCAGGAGTAGCTAGACACCAACTCATGTTTACAAATAAACCGGAGCGCCCCTAGCAGACATCACCAGCGCCGCACATGCGCGATGGAGTGTGGGCAAGAAGCTCGCCGTCGCCCATAGACAAGCCATTGAAATTTGATGTTGTCGGCGTCGGTGTGAGTCCCCCTGCTCTTATTCGTGTTCGAATTGTTGATTCTACGTCTTCCTGGCAATGCCCGACTGCTTGAGCGGCCTCAGCGAAATTACCGAGGCTCGTTACACCGTAAAACTTTACGTGAATAATGTGACATGCAGCAATTTATTCCACGTGGACGCCACAGAATGTACGTTAAAGCCCGATTTGCATGATGAGATTCCGCTCGCAATTTTCAATTTGTGACGTCGCTCGGGCTGCAAAAGCATGAACGGTAGATGAGATGGTCGACGTCGATGCTGAAAATCGCAAGCAGAATCGGACCAAGTGAATCAGGCATAACAAGTCGGTGATGGCCACTGGTAACAATGATCAACATCTCCTTTTATCTACTGTTTACTGTTTACATCGAGCCTGCTCACCAACCTTCAAACTTAAGTCTTTTTAGGCCTGCACTTACTTCGTATCGCAAATACTGGGCCAACGTATGGTCTATGGGCCGGTGTCGTCTAAAAGAGCAGATGACAAGCAGAAGCGTTTGAGAGCAAAAGACAGTTCGAACGATCAGGCAGCCGTTCGCACTTGAAGACGAACTGAACGTAGTCCGCAGGTGGTCCATACAACTTGACGGTTTTCCGGCGTTCATGTTGGAACAAAACAAATCTGATGACAAGTATCCGTGAATTCAACCCAAAGTGCTTCCCGCCAAAGCAATCGTGATCTGACGGCGTCTGCTTTTCCATTTTCACGGCACATATCCACGTTCTCGGACGAACCGACCACATGAAAACTTATCTTCAAACCTTTTTCGACTCTTTTGATACAGCCCTAGTCGTGGCGTTTTTACGAGAAGGCAGGTTTTTGTCAGGTACCTTTCAAAACAACGCAGGAATACAGGTCTCACATGGGGACTTCCGCCCACAGCCCCAGACCGGAAGTGCGCTCGATGCGCCACTACCGTGCTGGGATGATGATGATTATGATTGGGGTTTTATGGCGCAAGGGCAACTACGGCCATATTGCGCCAAACAAAGGTTTTTCCAAAGGGTTTAGAGGTGTAATCTAAAAGAACTGCAAGCTACAGCTGGTGTAAAAGGCCAGTGTTATGAAGGAACTTTAAAACTCTATTGAATGGTATAAATGGTTGATCGCCAAGCAGAAAATATGGATGAAAGGGAAGGTGATCTCGAAAGAGTTCTGGAAAACATGATCGGCGCTCCTGGTTTAAAGCTTTGCAATGCCACAGGATGTGCAAAACAGTCATAGCTTTCTCACAGTTGTCGCAAAGTTTTAACATCCTCACCACAGAGCAGGGGTAAATGAGTCAAACGGGTATGACCAATTCTTAAGCGGCAAAGGAGAACCTCAACCCGACGGACTTTATGGAACAAACTCTCCCATACTCCCAGTTGGGGCTTGATATTGTGAAACTTGTTCTCTTTTTCCAAATCCCAATCCAACTGCCATGAGTTGATAATCGATTTCTGTATGATCGGTTTCAGGTCTTGGTGTGGCAGGCCAAGAGGCAGTTTGGGGCATTCCTTTGCAGAGGCAGCAAGCAAGTCTGCCTTTTCATTGCCAGAAATGCCCACGTGGCTCGGGACCCAGCAGTTTGATCTGGTGTCCTAGATGAAGTGCTCGGTTTAGTCTTCCCCGAAGACATTGCACGAGAAGGTTTCTGCTGTCTGCTAAGGACGAAACGGCTAGAAGAACACTCTGGGAGCCGACAAACAGAACTGCTTTCATAATATTGTTCTCTAATAAGTATTCAACAGCCATTAAAATACCGTACAATTCAGCAGTAAAAATATTTGCATAAGTGTGGAGTTGTCGAACTTTCCTGAAGGCAGTGGAGTAAACCGCACACCCCACGAAGGTTGATGTTTTTGATCCGTCAGTGTAAAAGTGTGAGTAGTCCTTGTATTTCTGTTCCAATTCGGCGAACTCCTGCTGAAGAACGAGTGGAGAAGTAGCTCTCTTTCTGTACTTGGCCAGTGACCAGTCACAAGAGATTGGCAGAAGGTCCCAAGGCGCAACTCTCTCATTGCTCCTCAGCAAAGCAGCTTCACTAAAGGGAAGGTGGAGCGATGTTGCCATGCTCTGCACTCTGAAACTCAGGGGCCGAACAATGCTCGGCTTGTTTTCATAGAGTCGGAACGATGTAGAAGGTTGAAGGGCGTCGAAAGTGGGATGTTGAGGATAGCTGTATATCTTGTAAGCATAACAAAGACTCAAATATTGCCTTCGTCTTTCCATGGACATTTGATGTGTATCAGCATACAAGCTAAGTACAGGTGATGTTCGAAACGCTCCCGTGGCAAGTCTGAGCTCCAAATGATGGATGGGGTCCAACGTTTTTAGGGCAGACGGACGCGCCGAACCATAAACTGCGCCATAGTCCAAGCGGGACCGCACCAAGGAGTTATAAAGTCGCAAGAGGCACCGTCTGTCAGACCCCCAGGACGTATGCGACAGGACTTTGAGGATGTTTGATGAACGTAGGCATTTATGTTTCAACTCTTTCAAGTGGGGTATAAAAGTGAGTTTTTTATCAAATATTATTCCTAAAAACTTGTGTTCTTCCTTTACAGATATAGCAACGTCATTCAAGTGCAACACTGGATCTGGAGACAGGCCACGGCGGAGTGAAAAGGGAACACAGATTGTCTTTTCGGGAGAGAACCTGAAGCCATTTTGATCAGCCCACCTGCTCATCTTATTGATAGTGAGCTGCAATTGCCGTTCACAGCTGGACAGGTTACAAGAGGAAAATGATATCTGCACATCGTCAGCATACATTGAATAGGATACAGATGGTGGTATAACCTTA